CGTACCCGGCGTCCTTGGAGACTCCGCGCGAGCCGGCGCGGCGCTTCTGCGTAGGTGCACCCGCCGCTGTGATCGGCCTGCTCCCGGAGCCCCGCGCCGGTGTCCGCGCCCCAACACAGCGCCCCTGCGCCCAGCACCCCCTGCGCCGTGTTTCCTGGCAACGCTGCACCCCACACGCAGCGTGTCTGCCTCGCAGTACAGTGCACCCACACACACGCCTGCGCTTCACACTGCGCCCCAACACCGCGCACCGCGCACCCCACTCCGGACAGCCCTTGTGACCCCGGCACTGTCTCCTGACACAGCGCGGCGCGAGGAAACACCCTTCCCGAAGCGGGTGAACAGGAACTGTCCGCTTGGGACTCACTGTAGGACGGCGAATTCCCTCCCCATCCTGGGAGAAGAGAGGCGTTCCGAGACCCGCTTTCCAGCGGTCTCGGCAGAAGCGCCCCTGTCGGCACCCCGCGAAACAGAAAGCGAAACTGCTGTTGCGGTCCTCCAGGCACCCGCTGCCTCGGCTTCTTCGGGGTGGCAAGCCAGCGACAGACGGTGTGCTCCCGCCGCTAGAACCTTTCCTCGAGGCTAGCCCGCGGCGGGACGGAAGCTGCGCCCCGGGCCCGCCTGGGCTGCCCGCGCCGCGCTCCGCGCCCCCCGCCGCCGCCCCGCGCTCCTTTGCCGCTGCCCCTTGTTTCCCTGCACTGTGGGTGCTCTTCTCCCTCGCACCCCAGGTTGTAAATCCTTTTGAACACCTCACCGTACGCCGCGCTAGATGCGGAGGGCAGCTTGCTGAATGGTGCTCAGCTCGGCCCTCCTGAAGCGCCCCTGCGGCACATCGGGGTCAGATCTGGGCAGTAAAATGCCCGACGGAGAAAGCTAGGCTGCAGCCTTAGAGCACACGCAGAACTGAAGGAGACCGATGAAGTTCTGAGAACACTCAGCGGCACCGAAACCAAAGCCTGCCCCTGAATCTGGACAGCTGGCACGGTGGACCGGCCGCAGGAGATCATGACTTCTAAGTGAACGACGGTGTCTTTTGTCTTCAGAAAATCAGTCTTGAGGTCAGTCCCTGACTGGCAGCAATGTTATGTTCTTAATGCTTTTGGAAATCCGGAACACAGTGATGAACATAACCCATTATTTAATGAGGAGTAAAACACGACCCTCTGACATACTGGGTGTGCGCACCTGGCACGTTCCGGTGCAGTAAGAGTGACCAGGGACAGTTACTAGCATGCAGACCTGAAGCGAGAAGCCTATTCCCTTAGTCACCTGTGGGCTGTCCTTTCCTCACAGGGGTCCGCCCTATGCTGTGGGTGTATTTCTATTTTTTCCTGCCTTCCTTCTACTTTTATTTGGCCCAAGCTCACACTGCAGAGCCCGTTTTTTCCCCTACCCTCCTGGTTTGTTTTTTTTTACTCCTATCTTTAATAAATGTGGAACTATGCCACCATAAAGAAAAAAATAGTCACCTTTCTCCCTAATGTAGGCCACAAAAAGAGAATTAGAAATAATGATTCCAGGACATCATAAATGCCACTTTTAGTCTTTAATGACAACAAAATGTAGTTTTTAGGGTGGTATTTTCTTCTGAGGCATAATCGTGTCAGTGCAAAGTAGAACAGACTATAACAGCATAATGTTTACAGCATTTCAAGTTTCAGATGAACCTTATTTCTTTTCAAGCACATCAAAACAAAGACTTTGTACCCCCAAAAAAATTTGATTCCCAGTATCCCCACCAAAAAAAACAAAAAGAAAAAAGAAAAACCCCAAAGAATTGTGTTCATTCCCTGTGTTTTATTCCAACAGGCTTGAGCAGCTCTAGTTAAACCAGAAACATTTTTTTAGACTGATTGGTGCTGGAGACTGAACCTAGGGCCTGCTGCACGCTAGGAACATGCTAGGTTTGAGCAGCTCTAGTTAAACCAGAAACATTTTTTTAGACTGATTGGTGCTGGGGACTGAACCTAGGGCCTGCTGCACGCTAGGAACCGCCAAGCCACACCCCCAGCCCCGAATGTTACTTTTTTTTTTTTTGCACCGGGAATTGAACTCACAACCCCGGGCTTGCCAGGCAGGCCCTGTGCTACTGAGCTATACCCCAGCCCTCAAATGTTACTTTTTTGTTTGTTTCTTTGTTTTCCGGTACCGGGAATCGAACTCACGACCTCGCGCTTGCCAGGCAGGTGCTGTTCCGCTGAGCTAAATCCCCAGCCCCCCTCCAAATGTTACTTTAGCAAAAAAATTAAACATCTATTTTTGCTGTACACTATTAAGAGCAAACCTGAAGAAACAGTCAAGATTTTCAGTTTATTTTCAAAATTAAACGTTTTTCCTTAGTGGCATATTTAAAAGACATAGTCACCGTTATGCTTATTTATTCATCTTCTAAGTTTATGTAGGAAACCACTTTGTAAAGCCAATAAAAAATAAAACATTTTCGACTTTTTGGCCCAAGGGGTGGAATGGTCTATGAAACCTAGGAAGGCAACCGTTTATTCACCGCCGCGTTCCCAGCGTGTTCGGGGCGAGCTCACTGCAGGCGGCCACTGGGACGCGGAGTGGCGGTCAGGCGTCTCCACCTGGGAGCGAGCGCCTTTGTGGTTTCTGTCCGTGAGGTCCGTGAACGAGAGAAGGACAAAGTAATCGTTCAGGCAGCATCGTGACCAAGTGAGCACAGGTCAGACTCCAGCTTGATTATTTATTGGAAGGGGTAAATTACTCCTAACAATTATTCTTGAGCCCAGATAAACGCTGTTCATTCTTGGGGCAATGAATATTAGAATTAAAAGAATCTCTTTCTTGCTGTTGTACTTTTAAATTAAATGCTCATTACAAAAAGGCTTGATACTGCGCCACACACTTCATGTCCAATCTTGTACCCCACCGCACACCCCATGTTTTGGTTCCCATATGTCAGTGTTTTGTGCGGACTGCTGGCCAACAAGTTTTCTTATAGAAATGAAACTATACCGGGGGCTGGAGATATAGCTCAGCGGCGTAAGCGCTTGCCTGGCAAGCCTGAGGTCATGAGTTCGACTCCCGGTACCACAAAAAAGAAAAAAAAAAAAAACCGAAATGAAACTGTACTAGTTTTCATTGCTCTTTCTTGGGCCCAAACTGGAAGA